AGATCCAAGTATCGGTATCGTATCGGTTTGAAAAAATTGGTATCGTTGCATCCCTAATATACATCATTTAAACACAATCTTCCATGTCGCTCAGTGGGTCCTCCTTTGCTAACATAGTAGGTAAAGGTATTAGTAACCATCCTCTCTATCATGCATTTTATGCAGGGAAGAATACAGGTCACAGCAATAAATATCAAAACTAAAACAACAAATACTGTGGTCAAAATCTTCAGTAACATGTGCCACTAGGGTCCAGAGGTCAGCTATGTCAGCCAGTCCTGTGACGAGGCTCAAGGCGTATGATCGGCCACATACTTCTGCAGTGCTGTTAAGTTCAGTAGGGCCTAATAGACGTCGTCGCCTTTCGAATAACCGTCTGGGATGAATGTGCAACACTTCTCACCCATCAACTTACACACTCCACCTTGGGATGCTGTTATCAAGTCCAATGTTAGTCTGTTTTGCAACACTATCGTAAATGTCGCCTTCTGTTCCTCTGCTAAGGCTGTTCCCAGAATCTTGGTAAGACAGATATGCAGGAGTGTGTATCTGTTGATTTCCACGTGGTCGCGGACTTTGTTTATACCTATGTGTGGGACTAGGCTGTGGAGCACCTTAGCTCCTGTGCTCCATATGGGATATTCTTCTGGTACCCCGGTGCCCTCGAATGGTCCAGGCTTATGTATTAACATGTCACGGATGTTCCGTATCTTCAGGTGATTTTCCAGTCTGTCCATAAAGAACATGTGGTCACTCAGTTTTACCAAGGTACACAATCCTCCCCAACCTTCTGGGAGTGACAGGTATGCTTTGTGTCCGCACGGGAAATATCAATTTGCCAGTACTCTCGTTCCTTTCACACCTGGCACAGTTTTGATACAGAATGTCTCTGTTTGTTTGTGTCCCATCAGTGGAAGTTGGTAAGAAGCGTTAAATCTGCAGTCTTGACGCCAACGAATTTCATTTTTCTCACAGTTGCCGTCTCTCTTGCAGATTCGGCATTCAATTTCGCTCTCCCACCGACAGTGTGTGTAAATGCATTTACACAGTCGTTTACATAGTCAGGTCTCCAGGTTTTAGATGATTTAGAAGTACGGTGTCTGGGAGCGGTTGTGATACTTGCGGTCAGGCCAAAATATCTGTTTCTCCAGTACAGTCCATGTCGCCTGACTTTGGTCTGGTCACGTATGTTAAGTTTAGCGATAGAGAGAAGTTCATAGAGTCCAGTGTCTCTCCTGGCCCTGGGTTAGTAGCCAGTGCTTTGAGACAGAAGGCCCTAGAGGGTTTCTTCCCCCTTTGTAGGCAGACTTTACCTCCACTTACACGGTGCGTGATCTTCTTGCAGTGCCTCTGGTGAATCCATATTTGTCTGTCAGCAAATTTTACAGCTGTGGGTGTGGTGAGCAACATTTGGTAGGGGCTGTCCAATCGGGGTTGAGACCAGCACTTCCTTTATGACTTTCACCAGCACCCAATAACCGGCTTGTTGGCGTGGTTCCTGTGTGGGAACAGAAATATCTGGCAGATTATTTGCACTCACATATTCTTTTCCTTTTATTATCTTAATCATCCAGTCTGCTAATGTATTTTCTTCTTCTGCTTTATCACTGTTACTACAGAACACAGGGACTCTAAATGGCCTGCCATGTATTACTTCAAAAGTGGTAATTAGGCCTGGGAAATTTACCTCTTCTGGGCCTTAAGTTACCTTGAGCATTGTGTTTGCCGCACGTTAGGCAGTGTTAAGGGTCCAAATATTGAGGAGGGATACAGGAGGGATTCAAAATCACAACACTGGTCCAGGAGAGTCGGTCAAACGATGATTTTAATGAACACATGTGTCGGGAGATGAACACTGCAAAACATCAGCTGTAGATCTCCGCCCAATAATACACAAGCAGTTGTTTTTATAGCATCAGGGTATTATTTATGACGCCCCCTCATGCGTCAAAGCAGATACAATATATAAGTTAAAACCACAAATGTTCTGTTGACAACTTTTGGCACAGTTTGAAAAGAACCTTCTCCTCGCCTCCAAGCCAGGTGCCTTTCCTGTAGCCCGTCTCGCTCTCGCTTCTCCAAAACATGCTCTGCAACAAAACTGTCAATTCTGCAGGCACAAAAATGCAGTTGCAAGCAAAATATGTCTGAACTCTTACTTAGAAATGACTCAACCTAAGATGTGTGTGTATGTGTCTCCCGACCTTAATTGCACTTTGTTTCACCTCTCACCTCACCTACTAAAGCTCACAACCAGACAGAGGCCACTCTCATATGTGTAACAATCTACTAAAACTATATATGTAATATATTCAATAAATGCTTTAATTAAATGCCACTACTCAAAGCTTAATAAAAAGAATATAACGAATAAAAGACAATAATGAATAACCTAGTTATTCAAAAAGCCTCATCCAGACAGCTCCTCAAAATAACCACCAAAAAATGCACACTTTACAGAGGAAACAAAGACATTTTAGAAGTACACTTCCTGACTCATGCTGAGTCATCTGTTACCTAGCAAACTCCAACGCAGCCGGTTGCCGAATACACTCAGGCCTCTGCTCAGCCACTATTTTTACTGTAAGATTAACCTTCTAAGCTCCACGTCACTTACACTCTGCTTAGTTTCACTTTCTGCAAAAGCATGCTCTGCAAAAGCATGTAGTTTCCTGTTTACTTTGGCACAGACTGTACTCAGAGTTGGGCCTTTTTTATATAACCCAATATAATCAGCATATAAGCATTTAAGATTATAAATTTAAACTCAACAGTTTAAAGTGGTTATAACTGCACCTGTAATAAAGGTTAATGTGATTATGATAACACCTGTAATACAAATTATAACATAATGCCAACAGCTTCAATAAATACTTTGGTGAAATGATGATTAATGCAATTATAAAGATGATGGTTATGAACAGTAGCAG